GACACTAAACTGAAAGTCATAATATATACACAGAGAACCTGGTGCAGACTGGTACAGGCCCCATGCATGCTTCTTCTGTCTCTGTGAGTTCATATGAGCTTTTCTCAGTTGATTTAGAGCTCTTGTTTCCTGGTGTCCTCCAACTACTCTGGCTCTGGCTCTTACAGTTTTTTTTTTTTGCTTCTTTTCTACAAGGTTCACTAAGCTTTGAGTGGAAGAATTTGATAGAAACATCCCATTTTCCCATTTAGTGTTGAGTATTCCAATCTCTCTCTCTCTCTCTCTCTCTCTCTCTCTCTCTCTCTCTTCCTCCCTCCCTCTACTCTATCTGATGTCAGGAGAGATGACTCAGCTGTTAAAGGCTAGGCTCACAACCAAAAAATATTAATAATCATTTTTAGTGTAAATACTTGAAAGGCATTCGCTTTTAAAACATATCTTAACAATTGTTGAATCCTTGATTAAAACACACACACACACACACACACACACACACACACACACACACAATGTTTGGCAGAGAAATGATGCTCAGTCCATGCTTAGCGTCTTGCAAGGGAAAGCTTGTTACCTTTCCAGTCCCTTGCAAACAACATCTGCAATCTAGACTCATTATATTATTTTTCTCCCATGGATGCAGAAGTATTTCATAGCCCCCAGTGCATGACAACTGGGGATAGATAGGTGTAGCAGAAAGGGCACACAGGCAAATAAAAATAATGCCACATTCTTTAATACCTTCACCTACATCTTAAACACACAGTGTTTATTCAGTCTTGTCCAGAACAAAGACTTCCATCCAATGAGAATGCAACTGCAGAACCAAGAAGGAACTAAAAGTCTGAGGGTTGGGTAGCTCCTTGCTGGTTACTGTAAAGGTCTATGTCTCTTTCCTGATCCCATTACATTCTTCTCTGTTGCCACTTCTTCATTTAATTCTATCCCTTTGTCTATCCACCTACTCTTGTCATTTTCTTTCCCCACCTTTCCCCCAGAACACCCCTTCTTTGGACTCTAAGGCACATTTTTACAGATTTCTTCCTTTGTTGTGGAAAGTATTTTGGGGGGAAATTGTATGCTAGCCAGTAACTGGAAATGATTATATAGATACCTATGGACTATCGTTTATCGCCCTAATTTATAAGCATGTAACATCCAGGCCTAAAATTTTTACAGAACCATTTAAAAGCCATTTCAACCAGTGCCCTTTACTTCAATCGCTAAGTTTCTTTTTAAATGAAATGGCTTTAGGAGTTTTTCTTTGTACCCAGAGCTCCTTCGGCGGTCTAGTGTTGTTGGGTCTGGGGAAAACCAGTGAGAACTTGGGAACATAACATCACTCTGGAAGCCTGACTTTCCACGGTTGAGATTTGTCTTTTCATCAGCAACTTCTCTCTCCCTTTTCTTCTTCTGCAACATCCCCGAGACCACACAACAGCTCTGCCTTATTGTTTTAGCTTGTTCCCCATAATCAAAGCTGAAAGGCCTTTCTAGTAGGCACATCTGTACTCCTGCTGTGAGCCCAGAAAGGAACAGCTGTGCCACACATGCTCACCAGTTGCTAAATGCAGAGAGCGCCATTCATTCTGTGCCACATTTTCAAGTTTGATCGTACCAGCCCTGCACCGAGTTCAGTTCTCAGTGCATGCATGCAAACATGCAGCACACACAAATAGAATCCAAGATTAGCCTTAATTTCTCTTTTGCATACCCATGTTAGTGAAAAGTAGAAATTTACTCAGTTGAGTCTCCTTTCACTTGGGGCTTCATACATCCTGACTGCAGAGGGACCATGATCTAGTTTGTCCTTAGTCACCAGGTGATGTTGATCACCCAAGATAGCCTCTTCATTCTCCTCACAGGGTCACAGGCTTGCAGTCACTCGAGTGACTTAGGTGTCATTTTGTCTCTTTGTGTTACCCCTGCTCCATTTAGCCTCACGCCCTTTCTATCCAGCCACTCTTCTCTAGGACACTTACTCAGAAATTCACCTATAGAAAAGGGAAAATCCATCCATCTGCTATCTGAGTGCATAAACCGTTCTTCAATTTTGATACTCAAAAGATAGGGTGATCAGCTTTATTGAAGCTATTGCCATCTACACATTCCCAACACTTATCTTTTATCTTCTTTCCTTACCTTGTGGGTCTTCTCTAGGTTAATGTGGTGATGGGTATGTTGGAACTGTGAAGGTAAAGATGATGGTCTTCAGTTAATTTGTCATGCTGGCGAGACCATAGTCCCTTCAAGACTCAGGTGACACAGACCCAGGGAACCCACACTTAGGAAAGTTTCTTCTACATCTTTGCTTTCAAATTTCTGTTGTTTACCTCCCAGTAAGCTAAGATATTCAGGAGACTTTGGCATTCTATAATGATAGCAACTGAAAAAAAATAATGAAGACTTAGGCAAAAATGTTAATGTTTTTAAAACTTTCCTCGTCCATTCACACTGTTGTTTCAGTTTCTCCTGGGTCCTGCCATTTATTGGACCCATTGCCCTCTACATCATTTCAATACTTACCCTTCACCGAGTATGGCAAAAGAAAGGCAGGGTTGCATTGCCAGAACACTGGTCATCTGATGTGGGATCTCTTTCTGTATATGTGTTGCTTTTATTGGTTGATAAATAAAGCTGTTTCGACCAATGGATTAGTGGAGTAAAGCCAGGCAAGAAATCCTAATACACACACACACACACACACACACACACACACACACACACACAAGAGTAGGTGGAGTCAAAAAGATGCCATGTAACTGCCAAAGGAGAAAGACTCTACTAGAACCTCCCTAGTAAGCCACAGCCTCCTAGCGATGCACAGATTAATAGGAACAGATATCTTAAGAATGGATATCTTACATCTTAAGATATAAGAGCTAGATAGGAATACACCTATGCTATTGGCTAAGCAGTGTTGTAATATAGTTTCTGTGTGATTATTCGGGTCTGGGCAGTCGGAAACAAATGAGCAGTTTCTGCTTACAGCCATCTTTGGGAGACCATCAGTACAGAGAAAACTTTACTGTTGGGGACAAAACAAGTCTTGAAATTACACAAAGACATGATCCCAGGGCCAGTCTGAGACTGTAGCAAAGGGTGACTCTCAACCATGGAAGGCTGACCCAGGTCTCTTGATATTCTTTTTCTCTGGTACTTGAGACTATACTTAGTCTCATCTGACAATTTTGAGGTCTAAACAATGAACCAAGTCAAGTGTTTTAGTGATGGGAAAAGGAGAGAAGCAGGGAGTGACCTTTAATAAGGAGGGCAGGTAGAAGTTAGGCCACTCAACAATCGTCTCATTTAAACTCAATTCAGAGTGATTTCCTGTTCTCTGAAACACCTGCCTTGGTGTCCTAGAGAAATGGGGTGGTGTAAGTGGGGAGTATTGCTAGCTTCTTAAGAGTAGGAGAGGTGAATGTAGAAGCAACGTTCTTCCCAAAATGTAATATTTTAATAATTCTTTGAGAATCTCATATAATGTATTTTTATCATATTTATTCCCTACCATGCTCCTTTTCCTACCTCCTCCCAGATCCAATGTCTATCTTGCACTCCTCTTCTTGTCTTTCATTATTATTGTGTTTTATATGTATATATATGTGTGTGTGTATATATATATGTATAATATACATATAAAGCACAATAATACACATAGAAACATAATACAACCATCTGACTTCATTTATTGTCGTTCCTAAGCATATGTTATCAGAGTTGAATAGTTGGTATTGAATGGTCAGTTAGAAGACTCATCCCTGAGGAAGATGGATTCTCACTCTCTAAGAAGTTACCAATTGCCTGTACCCTTCCAACTAGGGGTAAATTTCCATAAAATTTCCCCCACCAATGTTGGCATATCAACTGGTGTTATCATTTTGCAGGTCTTGTTTAGGCAACCATAATGTTGAGATTTCATGGCTGCAGCTCCTCTAACTTTTGAAGAAGACACTATATTGCAGCAGTTCAGGTCCTCTGGCTCTTACAGTTTTTCTGTTCTTTCTTTCAAGATGTCCCCTGAGCCTTAGGTATTGTTATAGATGTTTCACATGAGGTTGAGTACTTCATAGTCAGTTTTTTTCTGCATTTGTGGACAGTTGTGGACAAGTAATTATTTCAACTCATTTGTTAAACAACTAAAGTACATCAAAAATTTTTATTTTATTTGCTGTGTATGTGTCCACATCATGTGTAGAAGCCAGAGATTGATGTTGGTGTCTTCCTCAATCACTCTTTACCTAAGGTTTTGGGGCAGAATATCTTATCTAACCAGAAACTCACTTCTGCTAAACTAGTTGGCCAACAAGCCTCGAGGATTTCCCATCTCTACCTTCCTAACACTGTGCTGCTGCACCAATCTATTTCTCTCTTAGAGGTGATGGGGACCCGAATGTAGACCCTCATACTTACAGATTAAACATTTACTGACCGAGTCATAGCCACAGCTTCCAAATACTTCTAAAGCACACCGATGTTAGTGTTATTACCCCTGCTTTACAGGGAGTGAAGCTGAGGTCTAGGAGACCAGATGGGTAATGACAGCTAGAATGTAGAAGAGCTTGGTACCTCTCTGACTGCTTCTCCCTGGATCCCAACTCATGAGCTTCTACTGATAATAATGACTCTCTACTTCAGCTTTTAAAAACTCTACTCCAAAATATTTATATTTATTTGTTGAGGTTAACATTTATAACTTTATTTTTCACTTCTCAGGGTGATTTAATGTACACCGAGAGCTGAGAATCTTGTCCCTCTCATACAAATATTTCTGGTCACTAGGTCTATAATGACCCATGGCAAATGTTAGAGAAATGTTTACTGATTAGTTCTGTGGGTGTCTGTAGAAAGAGGGAAGAACACTGTTAGATACCACCAATTTAGTTATAGACTTTTTATAGAGGCTGAGATGGACTATTTGGGGTTTTTGTCAAAGAATGACTAAGGAGGACTGCCATTCATCTCTTTCTCAAAGATGTTTTCCAAATCTTCTCTTTCAGGTGGTGTCGTCCTCAACCCAGCCTATTATGGCATGCCGGGCCACACCAACACCATGATCCACGAGGTGGGACATGTCCTGGGACTCTACCATGTATTCAAAGGAGTCAGTGAAAAAGAATCTTGTGATGACCCCTGCAGAGAGACAGTGCCATCCATGGAGACAGGAGACCTGTGTGCTGACACTGCACCTACACCCAAGAGTAGGCTGTGCCGGGACCCAGAGCCAGCGAATGACATCTGTGGTCTCACCCACTTCCCAGGGGCTCCATTCAGTAACTACATGAGCTACACAGGTATTACCACAGACTCGATGCTTTTGTTTTCTCTTAAGGTCATGTAAGTGTCGTTAGGAATTGGTAGGGTGTATGTAGTTAAAGGGAGCCAGGGAGGTTCATGTCACAGAAGAATATTTGTGTTGGATAGACCTTTATTTTCCATGTGTTTGAAGGATTTGACAAAAATGCTGAGATATTGTGGTCTTGTTGAGTGGATTCTAGAGTTTGAAAGTGAGATACATGGGACCAAGTAACAACAATCCCCTTGAGATCTCTTCCAGGTTTTACAACGTGATCACTCTCATTGAGGCATTTCCCTGAAGACTGTCTAGTCTGAGAGTGATAAGTCACAGGTCTTTGGGTGTAGATGTCCCTTCAGCACTTTTACAGATAGTTAACAAATTGACTTGATTAATTGAAGTGATAGAAACCTTTTATCTTACACTGTGCAAAAAATCATATTCTCTTTTACCAGCACAACATTGATTTCTAGCTTACCCTTCATGTACTGTAACCCAAAATTTTATTGTATATATTGTATAATATATATATATATATATATATATATATATATATATATTAAAGGGTACATTGTTGGCCCTGAGGAAAGCTGTATTGTGTAGTCTTGTCCTTTTGGGGGGATATCTCCTGGATCATCCATTTTACCAGTGTATTTCTGGCAAAAAGTAACACTAAGCATTCTTCTAATAATGGGCAAATTATAATTAAGATTGACAATTAATTTGAATTGATCACCTATGCCAAGGATGAAGGAATGTTAATTTTAGTTCCATGCTTTACCAAAAGCCAAATACCAGCCCCTGCTCATGGCTTTGCAGGTAAGAGAGAGCAGTGAGCTAGCTGGGTCTCCCTATGGCCTCTTAAGATGTTTCCCTCCAAATTTCATTGTTGTGAAGAATGAATTGAGTTTATAAGCAACAACAGCTCTGTTGCCCTTAGCCAGGACTAGGTGGCCTTGGAGATGCAGCATCTCAGAGCAGAGCCTCCTTAAGTTCCACCTTTAAGTGTGGCAGAGACAGTGCTGAGAAGCAGATGCAGGGTTTTTGGTCTACTCTAAATAGAAAAGCCCATGAAATGAAGATCACTCCTGTTCAACTTTATGGCTTGAATAATGAATACACTGATTTTGCTGACTCTGAAAGAAAGACTGGGGCCATCATTCCCATCCCTGAAGTTTCCTCGACATTTTGGCTTCTGCTCCACTGAGCAGTTCCAGTAAATACTCCTAGGGCATGGTCACAGGGTGAAGAGACCCTCTGCTGAAACACTGCCATCTTGTGGTGGGTTCAGTATGCAACTGTCAGTCCAGGACAGTGGCTCTCCAGCTGTGGGGTGGTCACATATCAGATATCCTGCCTATCAGTTCTTTACATTACTATTCATAACAGTAGTAAAAATTACAGTTATAGAGTAGCAAAGAAAACAATTTATGGTTGGGGTCACCACAACATGAGGAACTGTATGAAAAGGTCACAACATTAGGAAGGTTGAGAACCACTGTCTTCAGACAATCCTGTGACTTCATGAGCAGAGTCTCATCCTAGGATAAGCCGAGAATATAGTAATGAGATTGCTTCGGAAAGAAGCAAGTTCCATGTCTCTGCTTTTTCTCTTCCTCACCTGACTTTGTAGAGAAGAAAGGATTTCTTTACCGAGTGGAATGTTTTCTGAGTCTAATAAATGTGAGATGTGGGGCGCTAGGAATAGTGAGAATGGAGTGAGACTTTTGCCCTGCCCTTAGACACTGGTACAGGTTCAGCCTTCGCATCCTCTTTTGTCTCCACAGATGATGAGTGTACCGACAGCTTCACCCCGAACCAGGTGGCCCGGATGCATTGCTATTTGGACCTTGTATACCAGCAATGGAGCGAAAGCAGAAAGCCCACCCCCATTCCCATTCCACCCATGGTTATTGGACAAAACCACACGACCCTCACTATCCACTGGCTGCCTCCTATTAGTGGGGTGGTCTATGACAGGTGAGACCAAAGAGGGAAAAACTGTAAAATGAGAGGAATGCCTATTGGGATGTAAACGTGTACATGGCTGTCCAGAGACATCTGTGTCTGGTCTGGGCTCAGCTCCTTAGCAAGGCTAAGGGTGCCTCATGGGAGCCAGAGGCTCATCATGTGTGTTTATTCCACACAAGGATGGCCCAGCAGAATTGGCAAAGCCTGGTCCATCTGTCTTATCCAGCCGTTTTTCTGCAGGGTAAGGCTTGCTCCTTGGACAGTGGTGACTGGGGAAAGGGAAGCAGACCATGTTTCTTTAGTCAGTTCTTGGGTGGAAAGAGAAAGTGTGGGAGTGTACAAACTCCACTCAGCATTTCTACTGCTGGCTTTGCCTCCGGCTGAACCCTGTGCTCAGCCTGAGGGCCACTGTCTGGAGTGGTTACTCTCTGTTCTTACTTGCCCCCTCTACTGGCAACTAGTGCTTCTGTATGTCCCCCCCCTCTGGGACTGCCACGGTAGACACTTAATACATACTCACTGAAGAAAATCACAGCACCTGAAGCCAGCTGTCATTCTTCTTTTGTTTACTTACAGAACTAAATCTCAGTAAATTCTTTATTAAAATGAGAGAGGGGGGAGGGAGAGAAAGAGAGACAGAGAGAGATCTGATGTTGACAGTGGGGCATACAGGTGAACTGAAAAGGCTCCTTTGAGCCATGTAGGTGTGGCTCTATAGAAGCCTATACCCAGATGCTAAGTAACAGGAGAGTATCTTTTTTTTTTTTTTTTTTACTCCTGTTACATGGGGACACTGTGGGACATCTGGCTTCATCTGCCTTGTGTAGTCCTCACACTGAACACCACCCCTCCCTGTGAGTGAAAAACACACAGGGCTGTTTCAAGACCCCACAACTGGTGATTCTGGTGGAAACCCAGCAACAAGGAGCCCAGACAGATGAATGCTTTGAATTTTAAGCTTTCTTTCCCATTTAGCAGGTAGACATCTACTCTTTCATTTTTCTCAGTTTAGTGCCTTTACTAGTTTTTAAAATAACCCATTAGGTCCAGTTTGTGTTGTCCATGTACTCACAGGACAGGACAGGACAGGACAGTGACTCTTCTTTGAACAACACTTCACTATGAGTATCTGGGTCCAGCTAAGGAACGAATGGCCCTGGAGCATGTCCTCACACACTTTGGATTTGATGAAAGCCTGGGGTTGGGGGCAGATAAGGAGAGATGGGGACACAATAAAGCCAGTGGATTATTTTTCAAAGCGATAGTCACAGTTTCTTGAAAGCTTCATCCCGTGACTCGCACTTAGTCATGACATCATTCCTCACTCCCAGCACTACAGAATAGTTTGCACCGTTATCAGCACCCAGGTTCCCATGGGCCCCTTCAGTGATTCAGCATGCATCTACGCAATGTGTCTGAGAGTCATCTTCCTGCAAGTGTGACTTTGTGTAGCTCTGGCAGGACCGTCCTGTGTGGGTACATGCAAACCCGAGTTTTACATCAGTTTATGTAACACGTGTAAACAATTTAATCTTTCAATTCTCTCTCTGGTACAAACCTTACGATACAGCAGACATCAGACTTGGCTTGCTGAGAGTCTGCTGGCAGAAAAGAGTGTACTTTGCTTCCACTTCCCACCTAGGTGGGCTAGTTTTGAGGCCTCCTAGCACGTGTGTTGGAGAGACTCACGTCACATGCCTAGCAATTTGTGTCATGCCTAGAGTTATGTTTACTCCACCCTTGTAGGTATTTGGAATCCCTATGTCAGAGAAGAGCCCCAGCTACGCACTCTGCAGCAGCCCCGGAAGGGCAAGTACATCAGGAAAATGTGGTTTGGAATTGTGTTCACGTTAGAAAGAGCACTGATAGAATCAAAGGGTGGGTCTTAATTACACCCTTTAGTTGCTAAAATACCGAACACTAACGAGGTGCTGTTTGGAAACTTGCTCAAAGGGATTAAGGAGCCTGTGACTTTGGGCAACTGACTTCAAGCTTTCTGAGCTCCAATCTTCTCATTTGTAAGCATGGTGTCATCACAAGGGTTAGAAAGAAGTTGTGAAAAATACAAGGCCGGGTTATGTAAGGTGCTTCCTGTCAATATTATTGCCATTGGGTAATAAGATGGTTTTTCTAGTGTATTATAAGATACTAACCTGCTATTCATATGTTCTGTTGGGATACTGCCTTGCTTTTAGGTTAGCATTTCAGATATGTTGTTCACAAGGGGGCTTCTGAAAACATTCCGAGGGAGAGAGAGAGAGAGAGAGAGAGAGAGAGAGAGAGAGAGAGAGAGAGAGAGAGATATGCTCAGAAAGTCAGAAAGCAGTTGGCTTTGTTACTCAGTATAGTTATCTCTACATAGTCTGGTTACTCCAAGTGTGATGCTTGTAAAATCTCTTCATAGACTGAGTCATCTCATAGACATCTCTTGAGGAATTGCTGAAGCCAGTCATGTTCTCATTCTTACAGACACAATAAGAATTGAGCAGGCAGGTCCAGATACACTCACAGACCCAGGAACACAAAAGAGGATGGCTGTCAATTTGCAGCATGACATAGCATTGTCCTGAGAAAGGGGACAACTATAGGGGTGTGTACAGAGAAGCAGGGGCCAGAGTCTCAGAGGAGCAAGGCTAAGCACCCCTGCAAAGGCCACATCTGAATATGTAAAGTAGGAGTTTGCAAAGCAGGGATACTTGAAAAGCCCGTTGGATCATTGTAAGGACACATGTGCTGTCGAGTGCTGTGAAGAGCATGGAGAATTTGGATCATAGTGTGATGGAACTTGTGCTAGAAATATAAAGTGTATGAAGAAACTGCAGGAGGTAAGGCTCAAGCTAGTCTGTGATGCCACCCAGTGCTGGTAAGAATTATGATCCATTGCTGCGGGCAATGGAGAATCAAGGGGTATCACCCTCCACACTCTACTTTATGCCTATAAGTAAAAGTAGGGGATTAAAAGATCCAGAACACATAGATAGTGAATTCACCCTGAATTCCATTGTTTTAGCAGGCAGGTATATTTATCCTGTGCCTTTCTCACCATAGAAAGGGGGTTCATATGGTTCAGGAAAATATATTTGTATTTTGGTTAGTGATTCGGGGACAGGAGGTCCCTTGCATCTCAGAGGCTTCTTCATGACCCTGTTCAACTTTCTTCTTTTCTGACCTTGAGGTTTCTCATGATTTGTCCAGAAGAAAGACATGGATTGCAATGATAATTGCGCCCTCTTGTCCCCCTGGATCTGATTCACCAGCAACACCTTTCTTCCCCAGAGTCTTCCTGGTTTCTTTTCCCTAGTTCAACGGAAGAACACTCCCTTCTTCATGCTTCCTCTTCCCAGGGCCCCTGGCAGTACGTGCGATGCCTGTACTGAAGATGGGACATTCCATCAGTATGTGTACAAGGCTTCCTCGGGGCGGGTGTGTGACTCTTCAGGTTACTGGACTCCAGAGGAGGCTGTGGGTAAAGTACCATGGATCTTTTTCACTAATATTTTTGTGGCCACTAAGCATGGGTGTTGGATGAAGCAGTGGTTTATGTTTGTGTGTTTTTGCACATGGTCAAGGGAGGGTTTGCTGAAGATCCCCAAGGTCTTGGAAACACTGCTGGTGCTTCTGCATGCTGAGTGTCCTCTATTGGTGTAATATGAACGTCCCATGGCTGTAAGGATGGGAAGACTTAACACAGATGGACTGAGAAGTCAGCCCTTCTCAAGAGTAACCTCAGGGTGAACTAGGGCCAGAAATGTTGCATGTGTCTCCTAGTCCCCGAAGCAGCTTTGGTGAATGATGCTGCAAGCTAAGTGCTTACTCCTCTTTATCAGAGAGTAATAAAGAACACATTGCAAAGCACACTCATGAGCTGGCTGAGCAAGTCTGGGTGGGGGCAGGGTGGACTAGGTGTTCCACACGGATCGTTCTCATCTACGCTATTTTATGAGTCTATTAATCACTGGTACTGGTTGTGCTTTGAATGTGATCTAAGCTAGGCTCTAGAAGGGAGAAGATGTTTTTTGTTATTTCATTTCCTGTCCCTCCTCTAAATTCTTGAACAGTCACATACTCACTCACATATGCATATCAGGATCCAGAAGACATATTCGAACAGCAGGCTTTTCCGTGCCAGTGCAGAAAGTGCTGTGGACATGGCTTCTAGCCTTTCTCAAGAAAGGCCTTGACTTCGACTTTCCCCTATTTTTGTTTGTTTGGTTGATGGATGGGTTTGTTGTGTTGCTGTTGTTTGTGGTTATAGTTAATTTTTTCAAGACAGGGTTTCTTTGTGTAGCCCTGGCTGTCCTAGAAATAGTTCTGTAGGCCATCATGGCCTTGAACTCAGAGATCCACCTGCTTCTGCCTCCAAAATTCTGGGATTAAAGGAGAGTGTTTATTATGCCTGACTCTTCACCATCATTTTTGATACCTACCTAATCATTTTCTAGATATCCCCCTGTAGGTATTAAGATCCACAAAACTGCTGAGAAATGTGTATTAGAAAAAGTTGATTTGAAATAATTTTCAGTCCTGATTGTGACAAGAAAAACAGAACAATAATGATCTATGAATCTGTAATGACCACCTAATGTCACCTTGGGCTCATAGTTAATTATTCAAGTGAAAGACCCTCAAGGAGAAAGCTGGGTAGAGATGATCGACAAGACTGGTTATATATAAATCTTTTCAAAAGAGAGCACTTAAGAGAAAATCCACAAAGTGATGAGCTTTCTGTAAGAATTCTGAAGTTTCCTTCATCCTCTGACTGCTGAGATGGTCTGTTCTTTCTCATTCTGTTAATGGTTATTCCTGATGTATCTTTTCTCTCATCTCCCTAGGGCCTCCTGATGTGGATCAACCCTGTGAGCCTAGCTTGCAGGCTTGGAGTCCTGAACTCCACCTGTACCACATGAATATGACTGTGCCCTGCCCAGCAGAAGGCTGCAGCTTGGAGCTGCTTTTCCAACACCCCGTCCAAGCTGATACCCTCACACTCTGGGTCACTTACCTCTCCATGAACTCTTCCCAGGCACTCTTTGACATAGAGATCTTGCTAGAACTCAAGGAATCTGTACACCTTGGCCCCTTGAACACTTTTTGTGACACGCCGCTCACCATCAAACTCCACGTGGATGGGAAGGTCTTGGGAGTAAAAGTCTACACCTTTGATGAACGAATGGAGATTGATGCTGCTCTCCTGACTTCTCAGCCCCATAGCTCCTTGTGCTCCGGATGCAGGCCTGTGAGTTATCAGGTACTCCGAGAGCCTCCTTTTTCCAGTGGCCTGCCCATGGTGGTGACACACCCGCACAGGAAGTTCACAGACATGTAAGTTGGGAAGCAGAATCCCCCAAACCATGGGACTTCCAGGAACTTGTCTTCAATTTGCTTATCTCTGCTTCTGCTTTTTAATAGTCTGATATGTATGCTTTTAGAGAAAATATTTCCCAGAAAAGGGAAAGGGAAAGCAAGTACTGTGACTGTTAAAGTCATCATTATGCTGATGGAGAAGCTAGTGTATGACAGTTTTCAGCTTGACCTATTGGTATTGATACTAAAGTTGATCAGAATGGCCCTTTTCTGTCTTGAAGCAATTCTATTCTAGATTCCTTCTTGTAGCTTTCCAATAATATAGCAGGGCTCTCATAATTTCCAAGTTATAGCTAGTTCTTCCATAGCTACACTAAAAGGTCACAGTCTCTCAGATGCTAAACACAGCTTCATGATTTATCCATATGTATGTCCATGTTTCCTTCCTTTTCTTATTCTCCTTCTCCCTTTCTTCTTTCTTTGGTTTCTAGTTTTCAGTTAATTTACTTAATGTCTTTCCTTCAACATTTAGTGAGTTCTGCTGTGCTCCTGGCACAGTGTGCTCAGTGTTGAGGAGACAGTCTAATGTAAGAATTGAGTGCCTGTCTAAGATGCTGGTATAACCAAAGGCAACCCCCCCGCTACTTCATAGTCTTCTTAGAGACTTCCTAGAGGGCACAGCAGGGTACAAGAAAGTTTTATCAGAGGGGATCCTATTAGGTAATTTTTGCCATCTTAGAGATAATCAGATTACAACAAAAATCTTTAATACATTGTTCTATGCATGGGCTGGGTAATTTCCTCTTGATTGTTTGCTTGATCCCAGGATGACATCATACACGTACTGGGGTCCTTGCTGAAGCACCTGACATGACTGGGAATGTGAGGACCCTTTCCCTCACACTCAGTCCTGATCCTGGGCTGCTCATAGATGAGTGGCTGTTTCCAGGAGTGGTCCATGAAACAGGGAGGGCAAATTCCACATCACTTGTCGTTTTCAAGTCTCAGCTGGAAATGACTCTTGATAATTTTGTTCTGTGAAGTTACATGAAAAGTTTCAGATTCAAATAATGGACTTCCTTTCCTCAAAAGGAGAGGCAGCCATCACACATACCCTAGATGTGTGTACCCTGGCCAAGGTAGACGTTCAGTAACCCTCCACAACTATAAAGCCTATAGAGCTTCCAAATGTCCAGTTCACGCTCTAGTACATTTTTCTTTTCGTGGTTGTTTGCATCTTTGCCATCAGAAGATTGAAAAGTGGTTAAAAATAAACATAAGTGGAAAGCAAATAATGAGACAGATTAGAAGGAAAAACCAGCATGATTTCACATCTGTAGCCAGGCAGTTGATATGATGTTTGTAATATAATTATAGCCACATACAAATGTTTAAGGTCAATAATATCCTTTTTGGTAGACAGAAAACCAAGGCTTATCCTACCCTTAGTTAGAGAGCTAAGTAGATGGCAGTCCCAGGATTCAAACAACACCTTTCACAGACTCAGAGCATGGGAGGCCTGAAGTACCTGCTGCTATGTTCTCCCCATAAGAAGAGTAAATACACAATAATATTTCCGTCCAATCCTTTTCCCAGCCACAGAGATGCTTAAGACGTTTAAGCATGGTTGGACAAGAAGAAACCACCCAAAAAGGAAAGCAACCACCAGCATTGATTGGGATAAAATTGGGTTTGCTTTAGAAACAGCAGCTGGCATTCTGCAGAGAGGGTTCCTTTCTCAAAAGGGAAAACTAATTTGGAATTTTAAGAGTCTTTAATATTTAGGTGTTTTTCCTATTAAAATGCCTAAAAGCCAATACAGATGATTTGAAAGGTATTTTGGAAACCCCAAGACATTTCCTATTTGCTGGTTGCGGCATCAGATTGTGGGGTGGTGGCTCTGTGGTTGTTTTAAAGAGTCTGTTAAAGAAAAGAGAGTCTAGGCAGGAAAGTCACACTGGCCACTCACGGCGGCCTCAATAATTCTTTGAGATCGTGTCCTCCTAAATACTCATTTCCTATCTTGACTTGGGAGATACTTTTCCAATCAGGACGAGCACTGGACAAAATTAAGATGAGGCAGAATTTATCTTTGAAATCAGCAGCTCCATTCTCGAGCCTCTTTCCTACTAAATAAATGTCTTGTCTCAATGCTTCCCACTTAATACAGACCAGAGAGTATGATAAATTCCTTCCATCTCTCAGGTCAACTGTACCAACTCCATTCTTGGTATTTGGAGATAAAGATCAATTTAATGTGTCTCTAACTGGGAATTTTTACCCCTCCCATGAGCGATGAGCTGTCCTCTTGTATTTTTCTATGAAATTCTTGGTGCAGCATTTTCAACACAAGAGTTCTTATTTAAGAAAGTTGGGATCAGCAAGTCTGAGAAGGAACTTGACTGAGCCCACACACTGAAATTCTCAACTTCACTTAGCTTGGTTACTTTAAAAACATAGATTACTGGCTTTTCAAAAATTGCTCTATGTTATCGTGGTTGAAAACACTACACACCATCCTCCTAGGTTCTCATGGACTGTTACCTTAAATGTTAACTCACCAAACAATTACGAATACATTTACTAACATAGAACATATGGGGCAATAGAAATGAGTATCTACGCAAACATGGGGCTGCTCATAGGATTGAACCCTGATCTTTGTTTCAGGCAATTGGCCTGTCTCAAATTTTGTTTCTCACACTACTTTCCTTAAACTCATGTGAACTAACTACAAAGGACCCAGGGCATGCCACTTTGCAGATGTGACTGTCACAAACTCATTGGTTTCTACAGGGAGGTCACACCTGGGCAGATGTATCAGTACCAAGTTCAAGCTGAAGCTGGAGGGGAAGTTGGAGAAGCTTCACCTCCTCTGAGGCACATTCACGGAGGCCCTTACTGTGGAGACGGGAAGGTGACAAGGTGAGTCCTGTGAGCTGGGTTGTGCTCAGCTGCTCAAAGAGGTTCCACCCTCCATTTCATACAAGGCTGCAAGGAACTGCATGAGTCACATGGAAAAACCCCAAAATCTGGGGTCTTGAGTGGTCACCGGCGCCTCTGCATAGTTTGAAGGGTACCCACTTTTATTCAGCACTGGTCCCCAGAGTGGTAAGCTATTAGGATTAATTCTCTGGGGCCCCCTTAAGGCACCAGTGAGGAACTGAGGGCAGTGAGGTAGGGAAGGAATTAATATAGATGATAGTTAAATAATGCTGAAGGATAGAATTTAGATCAATGTCTGTTTGCTCAGTTTTACAAAGTGAGAGTGATTGGTGGGAAGGGAGATACTCCACTTACTGTGCAAATTTCTGTAAACATCACCAAAGGAAGTGTGGAATGATTCCTTTGGTTCCTTAAACATCCTGTGATCCCTTTTTTATTGACCTGTGTTATCAGACGAGGAAACTGGTTTGTCTGGAACTTGTCCAAGTTCAGCACTGACTTATATCCAGTCCCAGGAAACCCAGGACAGCTGGTCAGTTCTTATCTAGCTACCCTGACATAAAGCTGCTGAAAGTGGGGATCTAGGAGGCAAAGTATGATGCCTTGACAAATTCCGCGTCTTATGAAGATGGCCCAATTTTTAGTGACCAGGAAAATATATACTCAATTCTGTATCCTTTTATGGGACTCCATCTGACTAGTGATCACTGAACATTGTTTATCTTGTTCTTCTGAGATCCTCAAGCTATGATATAGTCCTATCCCATCACACTAAAGTATAAACACTAAATATTCTTTCCCAGATGAACACAGCAGAAGTCACCTAAATAGGGAAACCTCACTCATGCGTTCTCACTCCTCCCTAATCAACCTCAGCATGATAGTTCTCTTCTTGTTCCACTCTCCAACTGTGGCTACCACAAGGTGATAACACTTGCCTGGGCATATGTAGCAGAGTGGAGTTCAGGGCCATCTTCCTAATTTGGCAGCCATGTTTACTGCTGTCCATTGAAGCAGCTTAGCTAGAGGCTGCACTTCTCTGCCACTGGGTCTCACAAAATTCCACGCCAAAATGTACTTCTTAAGCTTCTGTTTGCATTCTTTGGCTGTCTAATCAGTGCTGTTGTTCAAGGGAAGGCATTTCTGAATCCCAGCAATGCTTCAGCACCCCAAAACACAAGACAAATAGGGGTCAGGCAAGTTGTTTAACCCACTAAGTTCTAGATAGAAGACTGTCAAGCTAAACACTGGGGAAGGCCCTAAAATTTTAACCAGTGCTCATTCAGAAGTTGACTTTCTCAAGACATGCTGTCCACCTACCGTCCGAACCACACAACACTCGAGACTTCAAAGCATGGTGAAGGCAAATAAGATGTGCAATGATTATTTTAGTGTAATTTAAGGCAATTCAGTTTTCAAACTGAAACTCAATTTAGTTGCTGGAAACCCTTGAAATATTGCTTGAAAGTTTGGGACAACTTGGATAGATGAATTGACTTGTTTGACTATGAATACAAAATTCAAGTAAAGGTCAAGTATTTGAAGTGAGATTGAAGTGAAAATGAATTTTAAATGCAGTAGATTTCAGCTGTTTGGGATACAAAAAGAATATTACATGTCTCATCAATTATTTTCCATTGATTAAAAATTCAAATGGTAATGTTTTAAATACCCTCAGGTGGATGAAACGGTAGCTAATTTTGTCTGTTTCTTTTACTTTTTAAGTGACTATTAGACATTTCAAAATTGTATGGATGACTCTCATTAGATTTCTATTGGGCTGCACTGCACAAAATGATATGCAATCTGCTTATGTTAATTGCTTAAATTTTCTTCAAAATAAAATTATATAGTTGTCTCTTTCCAAGACTATGTCCTAAAAGCCAGCCAGGGAAACATCAGTGTAGACCAGTGGTTCTCCATCCAGACAGGGAAGAATTGGTGTAGACCAGGGGTTCTCCACCTTTTTAATGCTGTGGCCTTTTAATACAGTTCCTTATGGTGTGCTGACCCCCAACCATAAAATTATTTTTGTTGCTACTTAATAAGTGTAATTTTGCTACTGTAATGAATTGTAATGTAAATATCTGTGTTTCCTGATGGTCTTAGGCAACGCCTATGATAGGATCGTTAGACACCCAAAGAGGTTGTGGCCCAGAGGTTGAGAACTGCTCGTGTAGACCAATTCTCTTTCTACACACGAGTAAACTAAGAATTGTGCTTTGAAATACTTCCCAAATATCACACAATAGATTAGGCACCTAAGATGAACCATATTGCCTTTGTATGAAAAGAATGTAAAGGGGCTAGAGAGATGGCTCGGTGGTTAAGAGCACTAGATACTCTTCCAGAGGACCTGGGTTCAAGTCCTAGAACCCATAAACTGGCTCACAGCTGTTCCTAACTTCAGTTCCAGGGGATCTGACACTCTCTTTAGGCCTCTATGGGTATTAGGTGCTCAGACATATTCCTGGCAAAACATGCATGTAAGTTAGAAATAAATAAATCTTAAAAAGATTATTCAAAATTCTATGACATAGATGTATCATATGTATGTATAGTGTAGTTTGGGGAGAAAAGGAATGTAAAATTTTTTAAAACTCTTTTTTTCCAGTTCTGAGGATTCAAAACAGGCTTTCCATAAATTCGGCTAGTATTCCATTACTCAACCACACTACCATCCCCTCATAATTTCTTCAACTATGTTTCCTATGTTTTTATTCCTGTCTCCAGTTTCATCTTACAACTTAAAATATGGTTACTATGTTTTTTCATCTGCACCATAGTTTTAATTTATTTATAAACATTCTCATGTCTAACTCATCCTTAATCCATCCACATAGTTACCTTTGAATAATGATGGGAGCTATTTGTGATATCCTGGGTCTGACAACCTTTTAGGATTCCAAATTTCTCTGTATATGGAGCTATGGAACATATTGAAAACTAAAGGAGAAAAATTGTAACTCATAACCACTTTACAGTAGCCAAATCTTAATTTTTTCATGGGAGTTTCAACTGCAGGGTTTTTTGTTTGTTTGTTTCCATAACAGGCTTTATGAAAGAAATATTATTGTAGACTAACTTACGTACATTATCCGACATTTCCTCATCAACTAATGATCAAAAATGACACTTGGAATTGATATGTAAAATTAAAAAAAAGATTTTTTTTTTAAAAAATGACATTTTTCACTTTCCCTGTAATATATGGTATCTGCCACTAGGTGGTAGCAGGAAATAAAGATTATAACTTGAACCCTGGTTGCACCATTGAAGACAGTCACAAAGCCATGCTTCTTGAAGCTCTTAGTTTTATGTAAACAAGAGATTCAACTCCACAAAATTCTAACTTTTATAACTTCATCTGCATAAAAAATGATTAAATGAAAAAAAATGATAAAATGAATAGAAAATAAAATGATGCAGATTAGCAGACCTCACCAATTAACTATTTCTGTTTTGTTGGCTTTGTTTTTTTGTCTTTTTGTGTATCCAAGGCTGACTTGGGCTGTTCTATTTTTCTCTAGAGTATTGTGTTCCTCTGTTCTCAGGAAAATCAGCTACTGTTTAAAATCGCCAGTGGTTTTAAATTAAATGTATTAAATTCTTTTATGTTAAAACAGTTAAAATTGCACACAATCCCATTTGATGTTTTTGTTACATTGTATGATATTTAAACAGGTTAAACATATCCATCTCTTCATATATCACACTCTTCCAGTAAAAACATTTCAAATTCTCTTTTCTGGCTTCTTAAATTTTCTACACATATTTGTTTTAGTCATTCCATTGAGCGAAAGCACGCCAGGACTTGCTCCTATATAATTATAACTCAGAACACATCAACAAACCTTTACTCGTCACTCCCTTTTCTCTGGTCTCCTCAATTTCTGTTAGCCACCATTCTACTTTCAATGTGTCTGAGATCAACTTTATGTATCCACAATATGAACAAGATCACAGGATACTTCTCTTTGTGTGGCTACTTAATTTTACTCTCTATAACGCTTTCCAGTTCTATGCATGCTGTCCCAAAACAACTGAATTTTATTTTCCTTTGAGGCAGGATAATATTCTATAATATATATGTTACATTATTTTTCTCCATCCACCAGGTGACTGACTCTTAGGTGGTTTCCATCTCGTAGCTATTTTGAATAATGCTGCCGTGAACATTGTAGTACATATGTCTCTTTGATTTACTAATTAGATTTCTCTTAGATATACCCAGGAGTGGGATTTCAAGATTCCATATTAACCTTTAGTGTATGTGTGTGTGTGTTTGTATATGTTGTCCTACTCTATTTCTTCCATCCTTGTTTTATAATTTACATTGTAAATGGATCATTTTTTTGATTTCTATTTCCTATAATTAGTTATTACCATATTGTAATGCTATGTTTTGGTAAATTACTAGAGCTAATAAATAAATTAAGCAAAATTGAAAGCTACAAACCAGCTATTTCCAAACCCCCACTTGTCACAGGTCTGGTGAAGATCCTGCCAGGCACACTCTTGAGTCTCCCACAAGGTTCTCCCAGATGCTCCTGTGCCACAATACACTTGATTTCTAGGAATTCCTACAACCCACTGACCTAGCTAATCAACCATTTTGCTAAACTCCCATCTACTTTAAATATTTATTTTTAATATTTTTTGTAAATTATTAAGTATTTGCTTTTTGTACAACTTTCGATTTTTAAAGCACAATGAAGAGCTTAAATGGATTAATGATATCTGAGAGAGAAACGTCATTTCATGTGTGCCTAAATGTATATTTCTAGGAGCATTGGAGAAACGTGTGATGATGGAGACCTGTTGAATGGAGACGGGTGCTCTAGAGTGTGTGCACTGGAGGAAGGCTTCAACTGCGTGGGTGAGTCCACTGGTGTGTGTCTTATGTTTAGAAATATATCAGTGTATTGCTGCATGAATTCTTAGTGTCTTGTGGCTTACTGATAAAGCCATAACACCAAATACTACATATATAGTCATTAATTTCTCGCTTTAACCATGAAGAAACTAATTGGAGGCACAAAAGGCTTACCTGAAAGTGCTAGGTAGAATTTCAGCCAAAGGTGTGCAGATATAGAATTTCATGCTAAACAGATTATACTGGTCCCTAGCTTGATATTACCAGGACATTCTCTCGAGTCCTCACATATATGCCAACATGCCAGATAAACAAGCAATAATGTAGATTCTACATACAAATTAGGGTCAGGAAATAATCTAAGCCTGTGTAGAAACAAGATATCTTTTGATATCTGTGTTTAATAGGCGAGATCATAGAGGCCAGCAGGGGGTCCTGGTGTTTCCTGTCCTGGGGAATGAGTGGTTATCAGTTATAACTAGATGACTTCATATCTAAACCCTTGGCATGAGAGGTAGCACACAAGGCTCACCCTAGTTGTGATGAACGCATCCATGAACAGGTGTTTTAGAGGTAGACTACTTCCCTTCCCATGCACAGAGAAGACTGTCTAGAGTAGAACCCCCACACCAAAGTTGTTTTAAGTAGCAGTGCATTTAAAACAACTTCAGGGACCTTAATTCTAAAGACGCTGTAGTCTATCACAGTGCGTAAAACTTATCATGGTGCCAGCTACTACATAAGCATACAGATGCTTCTGTTCTCCACAGCCAAAGCTTCGTATCACCTATCTGTCCTTCTGTCTAGCTGTCCACCCATCTGCTGTGTACCATGTATTAAGTAGTATCACATTTTATATTTAGTACTTATGGAACACTGACATCTGTTAGATTTTTCCCTCCCAGGTGTACAGGGCAGGAGTGACTTAGAGTCCAGCTTTGCTTTTAGAGATGTCTCTTCTACCCAATCCAGACATATGGGCATGCAGCTTTTGCTTACATAATTCCGGCAATGAAAAATGTACTCAGAACAGACAATTCTATTTAACAATGGTCTTACCTGTTAAATTTTTCCTTCTCCCAGTTTTCAGTTTGTAAACTGAGTCTCAGACCATCTTAGTGACTCATCTAGAGGCACTCAAGGCCCCTGCCAAGTCGGCCCTGAAACTTCACTTTCCTTCTCTTCAATCAAGTGAGGTTTTCTTGCTCCGGCGCTTCAGAGGATACATTCTTTCCTGTTTTATTTGACTTCCATTCAGATATTTGAAATGCCTCTTCACTATTCTTTTTTCCAATCCAAACATCCCCGCATGTGATTAGGTTTCCAGACCTTTCCTATTTACCCCAACCTGGCACGCTTTGTTTGGTCGATGCCCAGAAAGGAATCCAATCTCCCAGATGTGGTCTGGCTGTGCGGAGTGCACCGAACCAATCGACCCCCTCTTTTGTGCACAAGTATTTGTTAATGCCACCTCTGTTTGTATCATTTCTTCTTGGTAGCCACACAGTGGTCATATACTGAAAATAAACACACATTCTCCGAACACCGTACCTTCTCCAATGCAGCTCGAGCAGCTTTTAACTTAAGAACAGCATCCATGCTGCTCCTATCACATTTGATCCTTCAACTCATATTTTCCCAGTCTCTAACACCAGTAAGACTATATCTCAATTACTTTAACTATACTTAAGTACTATATTTAAGCTTATGTTTAAGTTATTGACTGGGTTAAATTGATGTGGTATATTCCACTATTAGACATCTTTTTTGATTAATACATTTATCGTATGCTAAGTGTATGATTTTACCCCATTGCTTTTCAAAATATTAGATTGGAAGGAACCATTGGAAACGCAATTTTAAATTGTTCTATTATTTTCTTGTAGAATTGCAAAAATACATATTTTTTTTGTTCTGTGGCTAAAAGAAAAAAAGACAAGAAAAAAGAAGGAGCAGTCCCTGAGTTATAGATAGAAAATATATTTTCTATGTATATCATTGTCATAAATAATAACAAAGGCAGAGAGAGAGAGCGCACTTTCTCTGCTGGGAATGTTGTTTCCAATGCACACATGCTGAGAGGGAGAGGGTGCCACAAATTTGATAGACTACAGATGAAAGCCTTAAATGAGCTCAGAACCATGTCCTGTAGTGGGTGGCTTATACTGGCATGAAGCAGCAGATTTACCATAGAAGGGTTTTACATATGAGGCAGTTATTAAGGAAAACAATAACTATATTGGTGAGCAGCTGACAAACTACCAGAATATTCTTGTGGGGTTTCTGTGAAGAGGAAAAAATGAAAAAGCATGCTGTAAGAATAATAAATCTTAGAAATGGTTTTACTGAGTCAGTGCGGGTTAGTGTGGATTTGTTTTGAATCATGATTCTATTTCAGTGTCCTGTTTCTTTAAGTAGAAATGAGAAATTGGGTTGTGCTATTAACACTAATTGTCCTACACTTTGGTAGAATTTCACAGATGGTTTTATAAGTGTACCTAAGCTTTCTACAAGGAAGGAAGCCAGTCACAAAGGAGCAATGCTGTTCACCTAGTAGGAACTGCCCTGCGTGGACGAATGGGACTTGCCCAGCATATCCAAACTCATCTTTCACCTCCAATAGTTGCCCGCAAATATTCCTGTTTTGTTTGTCTGCTCTGTTTCAGTATAGGTGGTACAGGGTACAAGGCTGAAAGAGGCAAGGGACTAGATTGTCTAAGTCTCACTCAAACCAAGCCCCACAGTTTGTGAGGGTCACTTCTCAAGTCACGCAAACTCATTTAGACTTGCCTATCTCATTTATAAAACAAGCAATAATAATAACAAGAAAGCTACAAACCTCATGGTTGCCCTAAGCTGAGAGACCTGATGCCTATAAGACCTGGGTTCTTTGCAGCACAGTTTCTTATAGTTTCTAAGCAGTTATGTGCTCAGAGAAAAATGTCTCAGTGGTAAGAGTAATTTTTTTAAAAAAATCATAATTTGGTGGTTGATGTTTTGGTGAGTATTGTGCACCCTGGTCATCACAGGATTGTCTTTACTGAACTAAAGAATAATTGGTAGGAACAACCATACTACATTTCTCCAAAGACATATAAAAATTCCTCAAATGTCATACATATTTCTTGGCAGGAGAGCCAAGCCTTTGCTACAGGTATGAGGGAGATGGGATTTGTGAACCTTTTGAGAAGGAAACCAGCATCATAGACTGTGGCCTCCATACTCCTGAAGGACACTTGGACCAGTGGGCTACCCAGGCATATTCCTACCACGAAGACAAGAAGAAGTGTCCTGCTTCTCTGGTAACAGGAGAACCTCATTCAATGGTAAGTGAAGACAGATTGTAATGGAGTCCCGGCTGGCCCTCAGTGTTTAGGGTTCTTACATTTTAGTCAAGATGTTAGCATTCAATTTTGCCCTCACTGAGATCAGAACATGTTGTGGGATGTTTTACTCTTTTGGCTTTTTTGGGGGGTGCCCACCACCCAGCTCCCAAATAAATCACACATGGAGGCTTATTATTACTTACGAATGCCCAGCCTTAATGTGGCTTGTTTCTTGCCAGCTTTTCTTGTCTTAAATTATCCCAATTACCTTTTGCCTCTGGGTTTTTTTTATCTTTCTCTATTTCTGTAGACCCTTTTTCCTTCTTTCTCTATGGCTTGCTGTGTAGCTAGGTGGCTGGCTCCTGACATCTTCCTCTCCTCATTTTGTGACTCTTCTTTCTCGCCTTGTTTTTCCTTTTATACTCTGCCTGCTAGCCCCACTTAACCTCTCTTCTGCCTCACTATTGGCTGCTTATCTCTTTATTAGACCGTCAGGTGTTTTAGACAGGAAAAGAATCGAATCACAGCTTCATAGTTAATCAAATGCAGCATAAACAAAAGCCACACACCTGAAAATAATATTCCTCAACAAGAACAAGATAGTCATTGTTTTTTACCGCTGAGTAGTACTCTAATGTGTATATATTCCACACTTTCTTCATCCATTCTTCCATTGAAGGACATTTAGGTTGTTTCCAGGTTCTGGCTATTACAAACAATGCTGCTATGAACATAGTAGAGCATATACTTTTGTTGTATGATAAGGCCTCTCTTGGGTATATTCCCAAGAGTGGCATTGCTGGGTCCAGTGGTAGGTTGATCCTGAATTTCCTGAGAAACTGCCACACTGCTTTCCAAAGTGGTTGCACAAGGGGTGCACCCACCCACGGAGACAGTGGGGCTGATCTATTGGGAGCTCACTGAGGCCAGCTGGACTGTGACTGAAAAAGCATGGGATAAAACCGGACTCTCTGAACATGGCGAACAATGAGGGCTGATGAGAAGCCAAGGACAATGGCATGGGGTTTTGATCCTACTTCATGTTCTGGCTTTGTGGGAGCCTAGCCAGTTTGGATGTTCACCTTCCTAGACCAGGATGGAGGGGGGAGGACTTTGGACTTTCCACAGGGCAGGGAACCCTGACTGCTCTTCAGACTGGAGAGGGACGGGGAGAGGAGTGGGGGGACGGGGAGAGGAGTGGGGGGAGGGGGAGAGGAGTGGGAGGAGGGGGAGGGAAATAGGAGGCTGGGAGGAGGTGGAAATTTTTTTTCAATAAAAAAATAAAAAAGAAAAAAAAGAACTCACTGCAATGAACATTTGCAAGCAAAAAAAAAAAAGAACAAGATAGTGTTAGCTGAAAACCTAGATTAATCATAAAATCCTGTAATTCATATGCATACTACTTGATCTCAACAACTTTTATTCAATAATTCAAGGCATATCCAGGCATCTCAAAGTTTAGCATAGACTTGCAGCTGTTATAAACTATATTTGGACTCTATGTGTTGGATGATTTAGTGTAAAATGATCAAAAGCAGCAATGAGAAATCAGAAAGTTTGAATTGGACAGCTGGATCCACTAGTATTACTGTTATTACATGACTATGTACAAGTCACTTGACCACTATGGATTTTCATTTGTTACTATCTTTTACATTTAACAGGCCAGTGTAGAGTTAATTGAAATTTTAAATATATATAAAATGTAAAAGTATGACTTGATTTAAGTTAGTATTGAAGGAATGCCAAAGTTAGTCATTAGTAAATCAGGTGACTCTTTTCCCCTGACCATCTGCCAACACAGTGGGAGATCTTGGGAAGACTCTAAGAGGCTATTCTAATAGCATTGTTGAATTGAGGTTGAACACTAAAGACAAGATGAAGGGCAGTTAGTTCTTTGGGTACCATTCCAGATGCTTTCATTGCCAAATAGACTCTTCCAGCCATTGTAACAATGGACAAGATGTCTACAGAAGTAAAAGCTAGAAGCCCTCTGAGTATTGTAGGCCAGGATGAAATAAATGTATTTTAAACCCCTGCTTTGAGGAAGCCTTTCTGAGTGGGTAGAGGAAGCTAATCAAGGTGCCTGTCTCGGGTGTCTTATCAAAGATGCAAGTGTCTAGATTCCAGCACTTCCATTCTTTGTTTGTAGTTTTTCTTTTTCTTGCTGTGAACACAGTTGCTGCCTCTGTAAGCATGAAGTCAGCATTGTGTGTGTGTGTGTGTGTGTGTGTGTGTGTGTGTGTGTGTGTTAGTGGGGTTTCAGAGCCTTGCACAATCAGCAAATGTTCTGACACTGAGTTAGGCTCCCAGAATCTTGCAACCAGCTTTTAAGAGAAGAAGAAGAAGAAAGCAGGTCAAAGGGAAGTTGGTGTATGCCAACTGAGTGTTTGCTCATGTTTATTGTGAAAAAAAAAAGCAAATTTTCTGGACGCTCCATACGGTAGATTTTCATCTATCTTATGGTCTTCTTAATCACCCCTATTTGTGGCTAACCTTGAGGAAATGAACATTTACATAACTGGATAACTTTGAACAAAGTTGGCGTTTGTTAATAAAAAGGTGATGGGCAAGATACAATGAGGCAACTAGCCTCTTGTGCCACACTCTCTTTGCCAAGTCTTGGCTTCTTTCTCCTTAGAATTCTGGTGCCCAGTAACAAAAAGCCAGGAAAGTTGGCGATTCTGAGTTCACGACAGCTCTCTGAAGTGGCTTTTAGTCTAGCCTAAATGTCTTCTCTAAATGAAGGAGGAGACATTTCCTGAAATTCTGCTTCTTGGGGTTTCTAGCCAGCCAAGTGCTCCCAGCCTGTGTGATTCAGTAGCTTCCCTCTTAGGCCAGTTGATGCTGATTGATAAGGACCTAACCATCACCCTGAAAAGACTTGCAAAGTGAATTATTGGATCAGTCTTCTGAAGTATGCCAGAATAATTCTTTGGGCAAGACTCCATGCTGATGGTGGGCAGAGAGTTGTCCTGTGTGTTTTCTACCCTAGGAAGATACATCTTTTTTTTTTAATTGATTTTTATTGAGCTCTACATTTTTCTCTGCTCCCCTCCCTGTGTCTCCCCTCCCCTTCAACCGTCTCCCAAGATACATCCTGAGGGTTACAGCCTTGAGAAATTCTTCTACATGAATTTGGGTTTTCCTACATTCTAACTTCTGCATTCTGTATCTAACTGTGTGGCTGGTTGTTAGGCAGAAAAGTCGGCTCTGTGCTAGAGAGCGTCCGATTTTATTTACCTCCTGCACTCCAGACTTAATTTGGGACTGAAATTGCTTTTCAGAATTGTACTACGCATCATCCAGACTCATCCCCCCACCATCTACTTTCTGGATGGTTTCCCTGTGTCTTCAGTTTGAAGAGAGCCCAGAATGAAGGCAGTGAGAAGTCCGAAGATATCCTGCAGAAAGACAACGAGATTTGGCTCGAAGTAAGTGAGCCAAATATCTATTTGTAACATCTGTAAATAGGGATACATTTGTGTGCATGTGTATGGGTAAAATGGGACATTTGACTGTTTTATTAGAGTTTTTCTTCCTGTTACCTCAAAGTGTTTACATCTTAAATTTATTTAAAATTGACTTTCTTTGAAGATTGGACTTCTATACAAGTAATCACTCTAGGGAAATAACATGTAGCATGACATGCAAAATTAGAAATGGGTAGCTCAAATACCATAGTTGCCATAGAAATCAAGGAATAGGGCTTTTAATGTCACTGTCACAATGCTTTTTTGTGTGTTGCATCACAAACATATCTTGTAGTTTTGCTTCTATTGACACAGATTTCTTTCATTGACTCTGTTACTTGAGATAGAGTCTCATGCAGCCCAGGCTGTCCTCAAACTCTGACCCTGAGCTCCTGATCTTCCTACTCCACCTCCCAAGTGTTAGGATGACAGGTACACACCACCACAAACAGCTTATGTGGTGCTGGTAAGGGTTATCTGTCTCATCGTGTGAGACAGATTCACAGTCTCTGTCCTGTGGGTGTTCAGTAGATCCAGAACCAATCTAATTCAACTTAGATCTTCTTTGCTGCGCATCACTTTTGTCAGAACCGGCAGCAGTATGCATGTGTTAGCTTCTGTGTTGACTCTATCTTTTATTTATTTATTAATTCTGCATTTTGCTCTACTATATCATATGTTTTTGGGAATATTAGTACATTTTTCAGAACTAAACATTTTATTCAATCTTAAAATCACATAGTGTAAGTCTTAAAGACTCTCCATTTTCTTTCAGAATATATTGGCCATCTCAATTATTATACTTTACATTTTATATGAATTTTATAATCAGCTATTAGTGTTTTAATCTTGCTAGGGTTTATCATTTCCTATAATTTTTCACTTATCTCTTCATAAAACAAATAAAAAACTGTTAAGTTTAATTTTTCATTATTTTCTTCATTTTTATTGTTTGTTTTCATGGTTGTGAATATTCTAGACAAGTGTTCAACCATTGAGCTACAACTATGCTTTTAACTTGTGTTTCTTTTTCTGGTAACTTAAAATGATGTTTTGATAATTGACTTTTGTCATCTCTAAGTCCTCACTTTATATAGTATTGTGAGATCACACAATGATTACACAAAGTGAGCAATAATCAATAAGGAGGTTATGGTTGCCTCATGACCCTTAAAACATTTCTTATCACTTCAAATGCTCTTCCATTTTAGTTATACATATGTGGGAAAGTAAAAGTAATAGAGCTGCCTTTTGTCTCTGGTTCACTACTACTTAGAACACTGGCAATATGGAAGATCAATGTGTTACACTTCTTTGCAAAAGCTTCAAAGATACCAAGGTAGTTTGATCCTTGCTTGCCTTTTTCTTATGTGACTTCTATGACAGAGCTAGTGTGTTTTTACGACTTGGTGAATTTTTTATGCCTTGCTTATACTGATAACCATGAACCAGTTCCTGAAGAGTATTCCTCACTCTTTGGTGACATGAAATATCCCAGTGAGGTTCTTTAGTATGAACTTTTTTCTTGACAATGGCTCCTCTAGGAAGTCTTGTTCTTTTGGTCAAAGCTACATTCCCTACTTTGGGGGGACAACTTCACTCCACTGCAATCCTCTGCCTGAGGGTCTGCACTCTTGAACCCCCACCATTCTTAGAGCTGGTTTCCTCTTCCACAACACCATTTGTCCACTGGTCAGGTTTCGCTTCCAGCATTATCATGTTTCTGTGCTGCATTTTCATCTTGTTGACTTCTTTTGATTATCCATCCTGGCAGATTTTCACATGTGTTTGCCACTGGGGAAAAGTTGAAATCCCATGTGTATTGTGTGTCTAACCCAAATCAAAGCTTCATTCAGGCAGTGAGTGTAAAGAGGAAATGTTTCATCAATATGAAATAGTTCTAGTCACTAAGAGATTAACATTATTAAGCCACATTAAAGTCATGACTTTAGCAATGATGGGATTAGTCAATTGGTCAAAATTCAAACATATTACTAGTGTGGAGTTTTTTGGTTGTTGTTACAAGATTGGCAGTGAAATGTTTATTCAGTTGCTATTAATATATTGTATCAACTTGACTTGAGTCACATTGGTGAGTCAGTAGTTTTAGTTAAACTAGTTTAATGACCATCATTTGTAGTATGCACATTGGAAATTGCCATATTTCTTCAAATTCCTATATCTTTCTTATAAATTATCTTCTTAACTAAAAAGTGTGTTTTTATCTCTAGTAATGTTTATTTAATCTTTGTATATTCCTCTGTTCTTTGACATACTCCTTCTTACTGTGTATTTTATTTATTTATTTATTTTTAAATATTTATTTATTTATTATGTATACAGTATACAATATTCTGTCTGTGTGTGTCTGCAAACCAGAAGAGGGCAACAGACCTCATTACAAATGGTTGTGAGCCACCATGCGGTTGCTGGGAATTGAACTCATGACCCTTGGAAGAGCAGGCAATGCTCTTAACCACTGAGCCATCTCTCCAGCCCCTTTACTGTGTATTTTAAAACATACTTATCAGAATCACTTTAATGTGTACTTGAAACCATCCATCTCTTTAGTGACCCGAGCTGTTTTATGCAGGCGATCTTTACTCACTCACTGGATTCTCTCTCCTCTATCACAATGAGTGAAACTTTAACTGAACATCAGACGCTGAACACCTTGGAGAGATATTGGCTGACACTGTCTTTATTTTGAGATAGCTTTATTGGAATATGTATAAAGATTCAGGAAATATTACCTCAATTAAGTAAACAATTTGAAAGACTAGAACCTCTGTTCTTATTTCTATGAGTACTAATCTAATTTCTTCAGTTTTTTTCTTTGTTCTAAGAAATTCCCCTTGCAAAGCTTAAATTGGGCCCTCTACTTTGAAAGTCTCTAACTTCCATGGCCTCAGCAGTATGTGCCTGCCAAGGACCCTCCAGGGTTTGAGCCTGTCTCTGGACAGTCTTTGCTTCATTTATACTGTTACTTTGCACTGCTTTGGATATTAAGACTATTTCTGAGACACAGAATGTCTGATTTCATTTAGTGTGATTTATTTCCTTTGGAGATGTTGAGTCTTGAGTCCTGACAGATTTGTTTGTTCTCAAACATCATCTTTATCTTACTTAATTTGTATTTTTAAAGTCATCCTGCTAGAGCAAACTTCTTTTTTGACTATAAGCTACTCAATTATATCCAGAAGCAGAAATCTCCACCTGAAACTGTTAATACCCATCAGTTAGCTGCCTTTTGTAGATTAGGCTTGTAGCCTAGTCCTGCTCAACAGCTAATCTAGAAGAAGAACCTCCATATTATACAACAAAATCAAATCAAAGGTTATATTAGTGTGTAAAGTGTCTAGTAAAATTTGATTTCATGAACCCATATGGTACCAAGTAAATTAGGAAGAGTATTTTGAAAATAAGCTACATTAAACAAAACATTTTCCAAGCACGGCAGAATTTCTGGCCCTTTACTCTTCATTTTAGTATAATTTAATCTTGATTTGATACACAGATATGATTTGTATGCAGTGAATCAGAGACAAATTTATTGCATAAGTGAAAAACAACAGTACTGGAAAACATTAGTTTTGAAAACTTATTTCCAAAATCTTTCATTCACTTACATGCTACTTGCCAAAATAAAAGTTCTGTCATTTTCGCCAGTTTTACTGAGGTAATATTCTCTTGATTTTCTTTATTCTGGTCTTCAGCCAATAGAACAAGAACAGAAGAATTTTTTTTCAGAGTATATAATATAAGTCGTCTATATTGTTTACAATGAGAAACACATTTTAAAGTCATTTATGGTTTATACAATGCATATTCTTATGCTTTTTGCTGGTATTCTCACATATCTCTGTGAGTGACAGGAGAGATGTTTTTCTATTTCAAAGATGAAGAAAGCATCCACGATTTGAAGTGCTTTTTCTACGCCACTAAAGGATAAAATGGTAGTTAGGAAACCATATGCTCACATCTTGACAATAATCTCATGAATGTCCTCCCCACCCCGGACTCTGTTATTAATTCCACCAGCATTTATTAAGTTCCTGTAGTATGCCAATCCCAGAACTGAGCACTGGTAATGCATAGAGCAGAGAAGCAATAGGAAGAAAGCAAGAACACAAGTGGAGATGAACGAAAGGTGCCCTCCCTTGTTTGGTTGCAGTTCTTCTAAAGTTTTGAAAGACTGTGTATCAGTGAATCTGGATGAGAGGATTAATTCAGCACGTTTTGTAAACTTACATGCAGGAGCAGGTGAGTCCCAGAAAGCGTGATTTCTTTAAGAAAGCACTTTGAATCTAAAGTAATGTAGGAAACAAATGCAACCATTTGAGATGCAGACACTCCATAGACACTTGTTTGGTTCCTAGGGAGCTAGACACCATATGCAAAATCGTATGCTCATGTTTGTTTCTGTGGCTCTAAAGTGTCTCCAGTTTGAAATGATCTCACTTAGGCTGGACTGGTTAGCAATCCTAACAGAAACCACCGCATGTTCACAGTATTTTAAAAACCAGAGTCTTCACATCAGCTATAAACCATGGACCACTGCCTGGAAATTTTTTCTGCACAAGCCTAAATCCTGTTCACCATAATTTATTTCCTTTCTTTGTTTGGTATCAACTAGCTAAACACTGAACATGAGTCTCTAAGAACATGCAATGTGTATTTAATTGGTTAGATTTCAAATGAGTACCCCTAACACCATGCAAACAGGGAAAAACACACTTGTTAAAGTGTGATCTGTTCCACATAGTATTTATTATACACACTTTTAAATGGTTATTTTAAAATTCAGAGATGCTAAGCATTTAAATGGTGTAACTGGTAAAAGTATAGATAGGATTCTAATTAAAATCCAGTATATATCAAAGACTGTGGTCTTCTCTTTCCATAATAGGAGTTGGGAATACAGTTTCTATGAAGAACCAGTTATAAAATACTTCAGGTTT